ATCCCCATACTATTCTACTCCATTCATTCAATGTTCCTAGTCAAATTGGACTTTTTTCTTTCCCTTGTTCTTATCCTGCCCCTCTTCTGTCTCCATATTGTCACTCATGATGATTTCCAGCTTTCATTTCCATTAATGCCCATCTTAGATGCTACCTCCTCTAAGAAGCCTGCCCTGATGTCCATAGAGCATTTCTGGCTAAACTTGTTACAGCTCTTTGGCTGACTATTCTTTGAGATTTTACTTCGTGTCACACTCATGTACAGGACATTTCAACCATTAAACTTAATGTATATTCTTGACTCTAATTCTTTTTTTTTTTTTTGCTTGGCAATTGGGGTTAAATGACTTCCCCAGAATTACACAGCTAGTTGAGTATCATGTGTTTGAGGCCAGATTTGAACTCATGTCCTTCTGACTCCAGGGCCAGTGCTCTATACACTGCGCCACCTAGCTACCCTTTAAGATATATTCTTGAAGGCAAGAACAATGCCACTTGTTTCTTTCTATTCCCAGCACCTAGAAGAGTGAGAATTTAATAACTTTTTGTTGAGTCAAAGTGAAGAGACTGATGCAGTTTGAGGGGTTCAGGGAACCCCCAAGGACCAAAGTACAGGACAGGGTCATCTGGAATGAATTCACAGACTCAAGTATTCTTTAAGTTAAGTTGGCAAAGGTTTACTGTTACGCTATTAAGTGGGCAACAGTTCTTAAGGAACCTTAGAGGGGTATAGTTAAAGTTCATATAGGAAAAACTATAGTAAAACAGGTAATTAGGTGATTCAGTGCAGGATTAGGGAGTGGTTAAGGAGTGGTCAGTCCTTAAAGGAACATGCATTTTTTTATCTACTGTGCAGGCATTTTACCCAGAGTTCACCAGGAGAAGCCCAAAATGGGGCCACATGGAGGTGTGGTTAGAGTTGTGCTATGTCACTAGGTTAACTAGCGGGTCATGGCTGACTAAGGATTGTCCAGTCTGCCACCAATCGATGTCTTGTTTGACAAGATAGATGTTGGGAGTATACCTATATCTTAAGTCTAGGATATACATAATGAGGAGTCCAGGATGTATGTAATGAGGTAAGGAGTTGGTATAGAGAGTCCAGTGAGTACCAAATATCTTTATGATACAGTACAAAACCAGTTCAAACTAATAATTCCTACAGGTGTGGTTTGTTACTGTACCACGGAGAAAGATAAGTGTTTTGCTGGGGCCCACGTATGAGTAATTGCTAGACATGGTCCTTGGGCTGGGAAAAACTGCCAGGGACAGTGTTTTTGAGGCTAGAGAGAAATACAATCCTGGAATTGGGGTCTGAGCATAGGCACTCAAACACCCCATCAAGATGACATTGGTCTCTTTAGATTGACTCCCCTTTTCTTTCTCACAGGAATTATTTTGGTTTGTATTGCAAGAATTTGATGCTCGAGAGCATCCTGTTCTTAGACTGAATCGCTTACAGAAGTTTAGGCTATAAGAACTCACCTCTCCTTTCTCTGCAACACTTAAATCTATTTTCCTGACATCTAGCATGTGAATCATACCATGCCTGCTTTTTCTTTTTGTTATTTTAAAATAATGAGCTAATGCATACTAATGAGCTAATGCATAAAGTTTCCCTTTTATCTACTTTAGGAATGAATTCCTTCCTATTGCTCCATAGGAGTAGTACTTTTCACTGCCTCCTCTATCTTTTGAAAAATAAGATCATCATCAAGGCAAGACAATACTTTATTAAATGATTTGTTTTTGGTCAAGATCAAACTCAAGCAGATCTGTGTATAGTCTAATATGTGGGATGTGTGAACTGTTTCTGGACCTCGTCATACTCCCCCTGCTTCTGGCTGGGCTATCTTTAGTATACAGCAACCACAACATTGCCATATTTCTTCCTTTCTTGATCCCAAGCCAAATGTTTCTCATGATGTTTTTCCTCCCTGTCATTCAAAGACTTCCTCAGACAAGAATGTGTGGCATAAAGAGAGTCCACTGTCTACTTTATCTAATTTGTTCTTTTGTGAATAAGGTATAAGGTCACATTGCTATGTTTTACCTATGAGTCAAGTAGAGTCAAGTCTCAATTATACCTAGAGGTCCAATTTACCTCCTTTCATTAAAATATTTAGTTCCCTTTCTTATTAACCTTCACTGCATTTATTTAAGTGAATGAGTATTACTATTTTTCCTCTCTGTGGATAACATTTCTTGTGAATTACTGGGTATTTCCTCTGCTTTTCTTTTATACATAATCCGTATACATCATATATCAAACATAATCCAATGCTACTGGATTTAGCAAAAAATTGTATGTGGGCAGTTTTTCTTTTTCTCTCTCCCCATCCATTATCAGTATAAAGTCTTCTTCAATGTATAAGTATAAGAAAAACATTAATTGAATTTGTAGCTAAAAATAATCTTATTGAATGTCCTCATTTTACAGAACATTAATTAAATTTATAGCTAAAAATAATCTTATTGAATGTCTTCATTTTACAGATGAGAGGACTAAAGCCCAAAGAGTTAAAGTGAACTCCCCAAGGACACACAAGTCATAAGTAACAAAGCTGAGATTCAAACCCAAGTCCTTTGATACCAAAGGCAGCTCATCCACCCTACACCATATATCTGTTCCTGGCACTTGTTAACATTGTACTCTGATGCACTCCATCCCTGGACCAGAGCCTGTTATTCCAGTATCTTAAGCCTTATCCAAAAATTCAAATCTCATTTCCTAACACGATCTTCTCAATCAGCTTTTTACTTTCCATCCCTGAATTTCTCTTCTAACTCTACCTTCAAACAGCAGCAGTTGTGAAAACCCATTCTGTGTTGCTAACGTTTTCGGTTTCTTAGCTGAGAATTTGTAATACCTAAAGATGCTCCCTACTGGCATCCACACTGCTTGTAAGGTTTAACAAGTCTTGTGAGGCTCTCCATTACATTTCAATTTGACACAGAACTGGCCCTCAGCATGCAGCGGCCAAACACCCCGTGATTCATCTCTCCTTCCTGTGAAGAACACTTGTTAGGTATCCTCCCCCCTGGAAGGATTTTCATTATTATTATACAGAAGGAATATGAGAAGACAGCAATTCCTCAGACTGTCTAGATCCACCCTCTCTTCAAAACATCTTAAAACCATTCTCCAGTCCCAATGGTTCCACGGTTTTGTTTTTGGTTTATTTTTTTTTTGCCTTATTCTATCTTTTTGGCAAGTTCTTTCACTTGCTAACCTCCTGAAATACATTAGGATTTCCTTCTGACTTATTTTCCCCTAGCTATCTCAAAGCACATCTTCCATTCTTTCCCATAATACTTCAAATTGATAAGCTGGAGAACAGCAAAGTTTCTTCCAGACCTTCCACCTGTCCTTACAGGGAAAAAGAGAGCCAAACTCTGCACTCTACAGCTAAGTAATTTTTGCTTGGCACTTAAGAACCATAACAATAGTACATTCTCTGAAGGTCACTGGAACATTCCCTCTGCCCTCTGGGCTGGCTAAAACTGAAGTCCTCAGTTTTCAGTTCTCTTTGCCAATTCTTTCTGCTAAATGCCATGATAAACTTCATGTCTGTCATGCCGAGCCTTTTCGTGGGGGCTCCTAAGAAAGGCATTTTATAGCAACCCTTCCCATTCTTTCAGTCTTGATCTCTTCAATATTAGGCCCTAATTGTCCAAGTTTATTCTACAATTAGCTGATTCCAGCTAATACCCTCAACTGCTATCTGAAGGAAGGCTGTCTAAAGAAATTCAACTTGTCCCTTCTTGCTTCACTTCTTGTCACTTCCTGCTTTGCCTTTTGCCTCTTCTCAGTGCACATTAATCATTAGAAGGTAATATGGGGTGTCCCAAAAGTCTTAGTGCAATTTTAAGCTTTAGCATCTGAAACCAAAAACCTTAGCTACTCTGCTTTAATAGCTCAAAACTGCACAAAGTCTTTTTGGACATTCTGTATATACTCTTGCTTCTTCAGGATGCAACAGATACCTGTCATCCCATTTGATTAATTATATAGTCTGGTTACCTAAAAGTTATCAATTATAGCATAGACTTTTTTTCCTCCAACACAGGTAAATAATTTCAAAAGAATTAAAATACACACTAAATGTTTAACACCAAGTCATAAATGTAAAGCTTAAAGGAAAGTTAGAGGTCTCTAGTCCAACTCTCCTCCCCAGCCCTTATATTTTACAGATGAGGAAAATGAGGCCCAGAGAGTTTAAGTGACTTCCCCAAGGCTACACAGGCAGCAAGTCACAAAACAAGGATTCTAACATGGATCCTCTGATCCTCTAAATCCTCCCTAAATGACACTGAATTCCATGGGAAATAACTGAATCTCTGAAAAATCAGATGACACCTCAGTATTTTGCAGGCCAGAGTCCTTGGCTTGGTCTTGAGAAGAGCTGAGTTGAAATCCTTCCTCAGACTCTATGTGACTCTGGGCAAGTCATTCAATTTCTCTCAGCCTGATTCCCCATCTGAAAAATGGAGAGGTCATACTCAATGGCCTCTGATATTTGTTTCAGTTTTAAATTTATTATTGTATGATTTTATCAGACAGAAGTATAGGAGGTTGGACTGACTCAATAGAGCTTGTGATATACAATATGGAAAGGGCTTTTTAAAAACATCCTTGATTTCGCCTTGTTTCTGTCATATATTTCTCATAACAATTCATGTAAGAAAAAAAAGAATTCCATTCTCTAAGCTTCATGGTCCTTTGTTGAACTGGAATGAGCTGGGAGTTTACCACAATGCCTGACATTTAATTCCCTCATTAATTTTCTCAAAATGCTTTCCTTTGGTTTTCACCACAACCCCATGAGGCAAACATAACATCTGTCAAAATTCCCATTTTATTATTCTCCCATTTTATAAATGGAGGATTGAGGTCTGAAAAAATGTTGAGACCTAAGGTCACAGAGCAAGTCAGTGATCAGAGTGGGGTTAAAACTTAGGTTTTCTGTGTTCATCCTGCACCACCAGCATTACTCACGTCATTATCTGCGTCTCCACACCTGGATCCACCAGACACCCATCCACGAAGAGTGGAGCCGAAGTAAAACCATACTTGTCCCAGGAGCTCCCCTCATCGAAACTCACCCTGGGTTGGAAACAAACACACAGAGGAAACAACTGAAAATCAAGCCATGTGGTTCCATCATCATTTCACAGATTATTAAATTCTTTTCTACATCCTGCACTCTGGCAGTGTGGATTATCAGCAGGCATTAATCTTTTCCATCTCCCCATATTATTGTGAGATTTGATCAAAAAATGTACTTCCTTGCTCAGGCAAGGACTATGTCTGATCAGTGAAAGCATTGAAACATATTAAAATTCAAATGCCAAACCAGAGAAGGTAGCTGGTGGACAAAGCATCACGTCCCAAGCACCCAGACTGAAACCAGAAGTGTAATTTACACTAGAATTAATCCAACCCTCCATGTTTCTGACATAGATAAATTGAGTAGTGCAGAGTGTACCCTACAGGAAAGGGGTATGTGTCTTTCAGATGAAACCTTAAGAAAAGTAATTTCCTATTTGCTCAGAATGGGTGTTAAGGTTACCACCCACACATACAGTCACACATGCTGTTGGCCTAGCATCATGACTTCTTTATTGTACTTTGGAGCATAAGCAATGTGGATTAGTGTAAAGGGGGGAGACTAGTCAATTCCAAGCCTTTCTTCCTAACTTCTTTTTCTTATTCAAAGGGGACCACCTTCAGCCCCATCTAACCACAGCAACTACCGCACCCTTCCAGAGGAACTTTCTCAAGCTCCAAAGGCATTTGCCCAAACTTGATTCACCGTATCATTGGTGTTCTATCCATGGGAGTCTCCCACCTCAATTTTTCCCTATGTGTTCAAACTGTTCACTTCCCTTTGTTTTTGTTTTTCATCAAGATCCACCTTCCCCCTTATTCCTTTTTCTGAAAAATAACACTGAGTTATTCATTCTTCTACAGAGAACATTCTTGTGCTTTGAGCATGCTGAGGATTGTGTCTGTAAATGGAGAGCGAACAGCCTTCCATAAAAGTTTATTTGTTCCTAAATTATCTGTTTCTGTTTTGATTTCTAAAGAATTGGTCATTTCAGCCCTTTCCACAATAGGTACCTGTAACTGTGAGGGCTAGAAAGTAATCCCAGCCAACTGAGAGAGACAGGGGAAATTCGATTCCTTTTCTGGGCAAATGTACTTCTCATTTCAGAAATGAATAATGAGGCCTCAGTCTTATAGGATGCTGCCTTTGCTTCCATATATAGTATAAGTGCAACTCCTCAAATGATCATTAAAAAAGGATGACTGGAAGAGAGATGGTTGTTTAAATGAATATCATAGCCAACACCTAGTCATCTACATCCATAAGGATGATAAGGCCAGGTAGCATTAGCCCCTTCACCTTTCAAGTCAGAAATGCTGTATTTCTGAGGGCAAAGTGGTTTTTACCAAAAGTCACTCTCCTAGAAAGAGACTACCTCGGGTATATGTGTCCCTCTCTCCCAAGCCTTGTTCTTAGTCCTTCCTCAGGTCAATATTTGGGTTTCACATTTAGAGAGCACATTTACAAAACCATCAGATCTTGGTTGAGGAAGCAGCACTTGACCTCTGATGGAAGACACTTCTAAACTAAAGCCATCCAGGAAAAAAAAACTTCTGGGCGGAAAAAAAAACAACTCACTTGAAAATCAAGCCCCCATATCTAAGTGCCTGGGGCAGCTAGGTGGCACAGTGACTAGCCTGGAATCAGGAAGACTCCTCTTTCAGAGTTCAAATCTAGCCTCAGACACTTCCTAGTTATGTGACCCTGGGCGAGTCACTTCACCCTGTTTGCCTCAGTTTCCTCATCTGTAAAATGAGCTGGAGAAGGAAATGGCAAACCACTTTGCCAAGAAGACCCCAAATGAGGTCACAAAGAGTCAGAGACAACTGATAAACAAATGAACAACAACAACAACAACAACAATCTAAGTCCCTGAGCCATCGTGATTTGACACTTGTGAGTACAGGTTCTATAAGACTTGTTATGTTAAAATTCTGATGATCAGTACTTATCAATTCTTCATTTTCAAGCCAACAAGACATATTGAATGGTATCACACTAGGATCCATTTTAGGAGCTGCTCTATTCAATATTTTTGTTAACCTGAATGAAGGAATTGAGAATATGTTTGTCAAATCTACAAGCAGAACTAGATGACAGGGATTTGCCAATTCTCTAGAGACAGAAATAAAATTCAAAATGACCTCGCTGAATTGGCAAGATGGTGAATGAATGAGAAGGGGATGAAATCCAATAAGATGGTCCACATACTGATAAATAAAATAAAATAAAACTACCAAGCATACAAATACAGGATAAAGGAAAATGGATTAGTCATTAATGTAAACCAAAAGAGGGTTTAGAGTCATGCTCAACTACAAGTTAACAATAAGTCAGAAATGATGCTATTGTAAAATGATTAAGCCACTGTGGTATTGGGGAGGGTTACAGAGAGTATGGTGTAGAAAGTTAAACAAGCTATTCTTCCACTATAGTCTGAATTAAAGAAGTGAGCCTACTTTCAAGGGATATGGAAAACTGTCAATGATGATGAAAGAGAAGAAAAACAGATCCTACTCAGAAAAATTATTTGAATTTGGATTATTTGTCCTGGGAAAGAGTAAGCTGTAGAGTGAATTAATTAAGGTCTTTAAGTGTAAGATGAGGATGCTAAGTAGTTGTTCTTACTATCTGTGGAAGGCTAACCAAGAGGAAATGGATTTTAATTAAAGCGAAAGAGGCTGTAGTTGAACATAATGAAGGATATGACTGTCAAGATGAAAGATTAAAGATGAACAGAACTTAGAATGGGTGATTGAGAGAGACTATAATGTATTCACTCTTTAAAATCTTCAAATGCATCAATAGAAAACTATGTCTTAAATAGTTTAGGTGGTCATCTACCAGAGGGCAAAGAAGATTCCTTCTAGTTCCAAGATTCTATAATTTTGTGTTCAATTCTGGACTAAGCCTTTCAAGAGGGTATTGATGAAATAAAGAGCAATTTAGAAGGGGGAAACCAGCAAAGGAAAACAGAAACCACATAGGTTTCTGTTGAAGAAAGGTTGAATGAGCTGGTAATCTTTAGCCTGGAGGATGGAAGATGATTTTGTCATCTAATAGCTGAATCAGTACTAAAGCAAATGGGCAGACTTTATAAGCATGCAAATTTCAGTACAATGATTGCTCTTAAAATCGAACCAGTCAGTTTGAATTAGTAGTAAGCTCTCTATTACTAGAAATACGCAAACAAAAGTTGGCTGACCATTTGTCAGGAATGTTACAGAAAGCATTCCTGAACTGGGTAGGAAGTTGGACTAAATGATTTCTAAGTTCTCATCCTGCTGTAATATTCTGTGGCTCTACATTATTATACTTTTTACCAAAGCAAAACAAACAGAATGAAGAAATAAAAACCACTTCAAAACAACTCTTCAAAACACTGAAGAAAAGGATATCTTGTACTGTCACTAGACAAAGAGCTACATTCATGAAATTATCCTGGTTTGGGACAATGGGTGAAATCTATCATCAAGGTTTTCTCTTGAAGTGTGGAGATAACATTAAGATACTTTGAATTTTCCCATATAAGTCCAGACCTCAGCAGGAGGCATTTCTAGGCATCAATATTTCAATACTAATGCCACCTCCATCAAAGCCCTAATGCTAATGGCCATTTTTGGATGAACACAAGCACATGAAGGGTCAGGAGATAGTTTCATCTCCACCTCCAGGAGCATTACTTGAAAGAAGACACTGACGGCTCAACATGGTTAAACAAACAGCCCCCGATCCTCTTGTCAATTAGAACACTGTCTGCAGTCATTCTTCATCGGAGCACAGCTGCGCTCCATGGGGCTATATTGTGTTTTTCACAGTAATGCTTTTAAAATACAAAGGGTAAAACTTGATGGAAGCTGGCTTGCCTGCAACAGCACTTAGGTTCCAATATCTATTTATCTCAATGTAGGTATTCACAAATAGACTGAATTGTGGGTCTACCGTTTCGGTTTTATGTATATCTATTTACCTACGCTTTCGATTTGTAGGGAAGAACACGCCTTATTAACCTAGCTCAAGATCCTTCAGCTTTTCAATTATAAACCGCTATTTTCTTCTGAAGGCAATTTAGTTATTATCTAAATCTGAGAACTGCTACAATTCAAATGTGTGTGCAGAGCTGGAAAGAAGGGTGGTACTTTTTTCTCCTATACTCACACACACACAGGTATCACTACTAAAAAGAAAAAAATTAATAGCCATACCAAGATGGAACAATGAGCAAATTAATTAATCTCTCTTTACATAACAAATAATCTCATTACCTAGAGGGGTTAATTCCATCAGAAGACATTGTGTTTACATTCCCTAAGTCTAAGAAGGTACTTTACAATACGTAGTCAAAATTAGCTAAAATTTTAATGGAAAGGCTTGTTATTATAATTTATAGCAAAACTTAAATGTACTCTATAGGCTCTGGAATGGAGGTACAGACATAAAAAATTATTTAATTTGTTAATTTTATTCTGCTGCACATATTTTCTGACACTTAACTGTTAATTTTGTAATTACCACATATAGCAATTTGTACAAGAGGAAGGGAAAGGAAGGGAAGAAGTGACACAAGGACACTCTAAAGATCTCTCTTAGGAACTTTGGAATTGATTGTGTGACATGGAGACACTGACATAGGACCACTCACCAAGGCATGCCCTCATTAGAAAAGGTGTTGTGCTCTATGAGCAAAGCAGAATTGATGTAGCTCAATAGAAACTCAAGATGCCCCAAGCTGGAGAACCCGTCCCAAAGTTCACATGGACTATTGGTGCCCGACCTGCGGTAGAGCATTCTGGGCTCTTATTGGTCTGATCAGCAACATAACATAGTGATGTCATTTGGTCCTCTTCGAGAACAAGGGACAGTCAACAAATCAATGTGAGAAGCAAGGCATGCCTACATGTGAACAGTAGTATAGGGTCCCTACCCAAGTTTGGAGAATTTAGAGCCAACTACCTTATCAACATATTTTGAAAGAGAATAGGATAGCAATTCAAAT